CAAACTTGATCTCTGCAGGAATATTTTCTGGACAAACTTATCCATATATTAAGTTAATATATTAATTGAGAAAAATGTGAAATATTATTCTTCTAATAGAGTAATTAACTATAATGCCATCCTTCTACTGTGAACACAATCGAGACGGTTGAAAAGCGTTTATTATAAAAACAAGTTCATTTTATAGAGTGGAAAAATGTTAAGCATTGAAATATAAAAAAAAGAAACATTTTACAATACTGAATGAAAAGATTTTCTACTCAGAATATAAATTTCAAGTTTTGTTTTAAAAGAAAATTTCCTTAATTTAAAACTTTTTCTTTCAATTAGTTTTGATTTCAATCCATTAACAAAGTCCATTTAGTCTTGCATAATCAGCTTTTGCGGCGTCATTCGTTTTCTTCATATGTACAGACTTCGGTTCATACATAATGCGTACGTAATCATAACACATAAGAGAGAGTGATCAAAAATGTATTTCACCTATGTTTACCTTTGAGAGATTGTGATAGACAGAGGAACGATAAAAACTTTTCTAAAAATCGAAAAGCCCTACATAAGCTCTCAGTATTAGATAAATGCAGTATAGATATGGATATTTTTGACAACCATATTCAAGGATACCATCCTCTTTTGGACTACCTATATTTCTCGGCAAGAGTAAAACCGATCGGATCGAAATTTTTTCTGTAGGTATCTCGGACAAAGTCTCAGATGTTTTTTTAAACGTTTTGAAAAACATCAATATCTTGATTTTTAATCAAAAAATATGGAAAACACTTACTGGAACAGCAACTTTCCAGCTAGTGCTTTTCATATTTTGTTAATTAAAAAACTGAGAGACTGATATTTTTCAAAAAGTTGAAAAAAACATCTGAGACTTTGTAATCAGGTACCTATACAAAAAATTTCAATCCGATCGGTTGTACCTTTGTCGAAAACCAGAAGTGGTCCAAAAGACGAGAGGAAAAGAAAGTACCCTTAAAAATAGATCACGACATTTGAATGTGTCCTACCGACCATTTCATGATCAAGCTCTTTTACAGATATATGCTAACACCGAGAAAAACAATTAAACAAATTCATCAACGTTGATTCTATCTATGTGCAACAAATGATTATACTCGTTTCATATTTTCTATTAATCAGAAATTTTTGCTATTTCTAATCTCTTTTTGTATTGTCAATCTAAATAATAAATAAAAATTAACTTGTTTGCAAATTTAAAAAAGAGAATCTTCGACATCATAAACAAAATGTCAAGATGATCTCTTGCTTTAATATATACAATTTTATATATTTAGCGGAAACAACAGCTTATCGAACAAAAAAATCGAATGAAACCTCTTCGAAAGGTCAAACAGCATTTTATCGTAATGTTATTTTACCTAGTAAAACTTATAAAGAAAAACATAAAGTTCGTAATAAACCTAATTTGATTAGTCGTTCTTTTTTTTTTTTATTCTCTATTTGTTTTCTAGCTTCCATTAAATCAAATAAAAAATGCTGCAACAGCTTATGAACAACAATCAATACTTCAAAAAGAAGATACTGAAAAGTCAAATTTCTATAAAAAACAATTTAGATTTTGAATATCGAATTTGTTTTTTTGTATTTTTGTAAACTAGATTTCGAAGTTCATTAAAACGTCAATTATCAATTGATATGCTTCGACATGGTTATCATAATTCATTTCGTGAATTATGTGCTATATTAACATGGCAAAAAGAAGATCGTGAACGATTAGGTGCTGAACATCCACTTCATGAACGACCATTACTTGATGGTGAACCAGATAAATTACGTTTTCTTTGTTCACATCTTAATAAAGCTGAAGAAGCTGAACGACGATGTAAATTTGTTTGTTTTTTTTTTCGTATTTAAAGAAAAAATTAATTAAATTTTTCTTTCATCAAGGTCAATATTCAAATATGTATCATAATTATCTTGAATTAGCATCGTATTTTTTAAAAAGTGATGATCGTTGGCTTTCAGATTCATTCTATGAAAAATCTTTATCAGTTGCTCAAACATATCGACAACTTGATCCACAATTAGCAGCTGAAGCACATCTTAATGTTGGTTTAGCATATGAAAGACGAGGTTAAATAAAACATAAATAAAGACATAAAATAATTATAATAATAAATTTAAATTATTCTAGGTGATTTAATGAAAGCATTACATAGTTTTATAAAATATCGTCAATTAAGTGAAGATTATGAACAATTAAAAGCTGATGCTAGTCTTCAATTAACACGTTTATATATGAAATTAGCTGAACGTCGAACTGATAATGAATCACTTCAATATGTTGTTAAAGCATATGAAGCTTCAACACAAAGTAACAGATGATCAGAAAGTTTTTAGACAAAATATTTGTTTACTTTTCACATATTTTCAACGAGTTAAAAGCTATGATTTTGTACTCTTTTTGAATATGGGGTTGGAAATTTTGTTCGAGATTAGTTTGAACGGAACTTGTGGATTGAAATTTCCTGTGAACATGTTTCTTAAAGTATTTCAGACGAGTCAAAAATTATAGGTCACGACCAGAATTTGAATATCGACTGAGAAATTTTGTGCCGATTTTTGTGAGACTTTTTAGAAGGCCGAAAAACTTATTTTTAATGACGAGCCAACAAATTTCTATTTATTCTAGAAGTTCCTTTTTGAACATGCTAAAAATTGTCGCAGGCACTCGTTTTGTAGAACGGACACTTCTTTACAAAATGTGATATTGAACTAAGCTGTAACTTTTACCTAAGCACGTTTTCAAGAGCTCTTTCACTGTAAAACAATTATCGATTTTTCAAAAATGAGTATATAGGAAAAACGAAAATTGAGATATCCAGTAGAGAGTCTGTTGGGTCCAAAATTTTTGGACCCAAATCCGATTAACACAAAAATTTTAGACCCGGGCTTGACCGCATCAGGAACTAGCCCAATAGGCTCTGGTACCCTGTCGAAATATAAAAAAACTTCAAATAATGCATTTTGTAGGGTAGCTTGTGATCTAAAAGCTGATATATAAATAAAGATCCCAACTTTTAGTTCTGAATTGCAATAGTGAAAATATAAAAGAATTATCTGTCCGAACTAATTTTTTGGATTTTTCAAGGATTAAATACGCCAAAAGTGAATAAACATATTGTCTAAAAGATTTCCGAGTATTTGTTAAAATAAAATATTTCGAAAGAAATAAAAAATTTGCTTTTTGTTTTTATTGTATTTAGGTGATGATAAAAAAGTTGAAAATGAAACAAGTTATAAATTAGGACAAGCCTATGTTGAACATGGAAATATTGATTTAGCATTAAAATATCTTCATAAATATTATGATTATTGTCAACAAGTTAATGATGATGAAGGTTTTGGTCAAGCAAGTGAAGCCTTAGCTATTTGTTATCAAAAGTAATTTTTAACTAATAAAATAAAATAATTTTCATTGTTTTATTTTTATTATTTAGAAAAGCTAATGTAGAAAAAAGTACAGAATATTTAACACAATATTTACAAAAAGTATCCGATAAAGAAGGTGATACACAATATGCAAGAGCATGTAGTGCACTTGGTTTTATTCATAATACATTAGTAAATATTATGATTACAATTTTTTTTATTCAAAATTTCTTTTATTTTATTTTTTTTTTAGAGTCAATATGATTCAGCTATTCAATCATTAAGTAAAGCTTATAGTATATCATTAGCTAATAGTCATGTTGATCTTGAACGTAATCGTGTCTTATTTGGCATAGCACATGGTTTTAAATTACGACCATTTTTTGATGATCATATTGATAGAATGAATACAAAAGAATTACTTCAATGGAAATGTACAAGACATGAAAGTTTTTTAACAAAACCAAAACCATAAAATTTTGACTTGTAATATAATCTATTCAACAAAAAATATATTAAGAACTATTAAATACAAATTCTTATTTTTCTGTATTTGAAATAAAAATAAATATATTTAAACATGCAAAAAATTCGATTGATTTTTTTTTAGCTAATAAGATGATTATTAAGGATTTGGTTCATGACTATAAATCAATATATGACGCTGAATATCATACAATGAATATTTTTATTGCTAACCACAGATTGAATTTATTTTATCAAAATTCTTAAGCTTCTGCTTCGAATTTAAATAGGATATGTTGGAGCTGTAACAAAGAGGTTATGATAAAATTTTTAGCTCAATACCATGATATTTCTATCAAATGAGAGTCAAAAATAGTTAATTTGCCAATTCGAAATTATCTATGGGCCTTCACTCTATTTATATATTTTTTTTACATTGTTTAAAAGGACATGTCAGGTAATAAAGCTCTTGATATTCTTACATTTTTGTTGAAGACTAAGGATGACAAATTCAATATTGCAAAACTCTCTAAAACAAAATTGGCACTTTTTGCAGTACTCAACTTGTCATTCTTTTTCTCTAACAATAAAATAAGAGTTGTGTCAGATACTGCAACACGATATGCTCTGTTAAATAAAAGAAAAATAATATATATCTATACAGAATGAAGACTCATATATAATTTCGAGTTACAAATTAACTATTTTTAATCTTAACTTAATAAATATTTCATGAAAACTTCATTGCATCAAACCGACAAATTTGATCATATAGATCCTCCACTATAGCTTCAACATACTCTGAGCAATTTATGTGATTTAAATGTTTCTGACCTAAGATCGCTATCGAGGGAAAGGTCTTAATGAATTGAATAATTTTTAGTTTTTAAATTAGACTGCAAAATTTTACAATACCATAAGCTTAAAGATTGTTTATACTATTTTACTTTAGTATTAGCTTTTAACAATACAAAAAAAAGCATTTGAAATTAAACTTACTTGATATATTAATAAAACAATGATTGATGAAAAACCTTTTGTAACAGTCAGAAGAGAAAAAAACTAATGTACAAATAGGAGAATATGAAATGTGCACGGAAATAATTGAAAGCATAATATTTGATATGGAGATATTAAGCCATATTATTAGAATTATTGATTGTTACATCGTTTTTTATTGATTGTTCAGTTAGAACATTATGAATTTCTATAGCAGATATTACTGTTCTATATGTTGGAGCTTCTGGTGGTACTACAGATGATTGTTTTTGTATCGTTCCAGGTGATTTAGGACGAGGAGAAATCGATAATGTACCTGTTGGTTTTGGTTGAGATGAATCATGCTTCACTGGCGCAACACGAGTTCGATAAATCCAATTATTATAACATATATCCAATTTACCATACAAACAAATAATTTTCATCAGAAAACAGAAAATTCCAAAACAAATTAAACCAATACCAATAAATTTAGTAGTATTTACTTCATATATAACACCAATGACAATAAGAATAAGTCCAATTACTATTACTAGAGAACCACAAATGACGAAGAAATTAGTCAATTTATACGTATATAATCCATTACGCATGTTCATAGGCGGCATCATCGGATTACGAGTCCGACCATTAAGGAATAGCATTTTGTTTTTTTTTCTTTCAGTAAAAATACATGATGTTGAAAATCTTTAAAGAAAATTCATTGGTCATTCTTGTCGAATATATTGGATATAAATATTTCTCGTTCTCATTAAAAAAAACAAGTCAAGATAATCTATCAATTAATCGATTGTTTAACTAATTCTATTCGAAATTACTCATCTACCTTTCTATCAAAGATAAAAATAGAATATTATGAAAAATTTCAACCTATATCTTTCTCAGTACGCTTGAAAACAAGCTAAGATATTTGTTTTTCTCTCTCTCTCTCTTATCACAGGAAGAGAATAAGAAAATAAAAAATGAGAAGAAAAAGAAAATTTCAGAAAGACGACACAAATGCAGTCAGGAGCAGCAGAAGACATCTTCTCAGAACAAAAAAAACAATGATGGCAAGCGGCATTTACTGAAGAAGAAAAAAACATGACAGCATAAAAAAGAAAAACGGAAAGATACGGTGTTCTTCGAATCATAATAGGAAAAAAAATAAAATTAAGAAAAAGAACAAAAGAAGAAAACACTAGGTCATGCATATACTAATTACAATAAATTAAATTTATATTACACAGATTTTTGTCATTAATCATGTTTCACAGATTTTTAAAAAAATGCAAATTACCGGAAAAAATAATTTTCTTTAACTTTTATATTAACAGATGTTCAATAGATATCAAAAAAAAAAAATAATTAAAAAAAAAAGATTAGAACAAAAATGTAAAAACTAAATTTAAAAAATTGTGTGATAATCTATAAATATAATTTAATTAATCTTTAATCAGTATGGAACACAAACATTAATTCAATTTACAAACACATCATTTAATAAAATATTGTTTGTAAAATGTATTGGAAATAAGAACTAATTGAAATATTCAGATTATCGAAATGATATCATCATCTGACTCTTGAGTTTCGATAGTCTGTCTGAATAATACTACTAATTTATCAAAGATTAAGTCAATGATCTTCACGTCCACATCTCTAGTGAGTTAATAACGTATTATAAAACACGAGAGAAATTGAAAAGCAACACTTAGAATCAAATATCTGTAATCGCGCGCATGAATAGAATGAAAGTACTAACACATACGGACATACTAAATGATGTCATTGCATTATTATCTGTCGACAATGTTTTATAAAGAGCACTTAATTTGGTTCCCCTTCTATCAGTAGACGGAATTGCTATTGTTATACATACAGGAAATAAATTTTAATTAATCTAAATAGGTTCGAGATATCGGCATTAATGTTTTAATGATTTGTAAAATTTACTTAGCTTAGATTTTCAAAAAAAAAGAACTAATTCTTGGCATAGGTCAAAGTCCGAAGATTTTATATTGAATAAAAAATGCAGTCATTGAGTGAATGAAAACAAATTTTCTTTTAATAAATAATTATTAAAAATAAAGACTCATCCCAGAACTTTTTTTTTTATGGTCTTGTTTATAAAACACATGGAAATATTCGAGAAGAAATTTTTCATGAAAGAAAGGTAATATCATCATATTACACGGATTGCAGCATTTGTCAGGATATCGCCAAAGACTAGTTCAAATAAGAACGTTTTTCATGTACTCAGTAAGGATACTGGTATGTATGTCATATTCTAGCTCTTTCATTTATTTTCTTTTCAAAATGATAATAAAATTCTATGAAATATTTAAGTGCAATCCTAAAACAATTTAAATAAATACTTTTTAGTTTGAAAAATTTATTATCTTACTATGAAGTTGAAAGAAACAAAAAATAGCCCAGCTATTCAAATATTCAACTTTCTGTTCCGTCGAAGTACAAAGTTAATAGAGCCTATATTAAGAATGTAAGTTTTTTATTTAATGTACAGAGAAAAAAAACAACTGAAAGTGAAAGGCATAGATGGAAAGCTGTATGTTGGATTATTTCAACTATATATCAATTACTGGATAGCTCAGCTGGTATTGACATACGTGACACGACAGATGAGCCTCTCGATACTTGAGTCTTCGTCGATGAATGAAGCAAAATATGACGTCAATATCAGATTGTTGTGTTCAATATGTAAAAGATGCATGTAGGCATACGATATCTTATGGTGTTAACGGATGTGGTTGTGATCTTGTCTTCACTTACACAACCATCCATCAAAGATTTATGAATAGAACAATACATGAACTTGATAATAGTTGAATAATTTGCAAGCCGGACTTGTAAAACTAAAGAAATGTATTAAATATGAAGTTAATGAAAAATTCCAACGAGTAATTTTGACTTTTCATTTGATAACAACAGACTTATACTTTAAACGAGCAAGAGTACTATTTAGTTTTTTAATATGACCGTGAACTTATTCGAATAAAATTAACTTCTTGTATTTCTTTAATTTTTTCCTTATGTCAAGTTCAAGTGTCGAAAGTTTAATCATTGAGAGACTCATCTGTCAGTATATCATTAATGTCATAAATGTTCCTAATAATTGATTGTACGAAGTATCTATTTGAATACTTACTGATTTTGAGGATTTAATAAAAATGATTTGTTTTCTTTGGTATATAAATGATAGTCAAAGAATTGCTGTTTGAATTGTCTTCTATTGAAAAATTTATAAAATGATGTGAATTATGATTAAAGTGAATTCATCACATCAAAAAGGACATCGATCGTATTGATTGAATTTTAATCATTAATATTCTGATTAATGATTAAAATGAATTTGACTCCATGATAATATTAAATAGAAAATTTTTTACATTCTCGTAAAAAAAACCTAGCAATGAATTACGATCAAATATGTATGTATGCTAGTCATTTTGTTATTTTATTCAATTTGTATGATTACAGTAATGTAATACCAAGTCTCAGTTTTCAATCTCTGTCGTATTTACAAGTAATTAGAGAAAGTCAAACTCGATAAGCAATCAAGACGATTAATAAACATTTCCAGCACCGTAGTGACCTCGAAGTATGAGAAATTATTCAATCAATAAAAAAGTATAGTTTTTATATTTATTCATGAGCATAATACTTCATCGAGTAGAAAATTGTCTTCGTTTATTAGAATGAATTACTCAAATCCAATTCGTAGACGTTGCAAAACGAATGAAAGAATACATGTTAACTTCAATATTAAATATTATTGAGCTGTGTAAAAATAAAATTATTTTTTTCTTTAAAGTGTCTATTATTCTTTTTTCGAATTGGTTCTGTGTCTTTATTTGAAATCTTAACATATTCGCGGCGATATGAATATTGTTTTTTTCATAATTCGTGAAAAGTTGCATTTCTTTATTCATGACAGTTGTAATACTTCAACACAGCTTTTGTCAATGTTTCTTTTAGAGATATAATCTATGAAGATTCCTTTATCAGTGGTAAAAGAATCAGTCCGTTTGACCAAAATATGGCAGAGGTATTCAAATTTTTCTGTGCTAAAGGAACTTTTGGGTCGTCCTGCAGTGAGGTCTACTAGTGGACTCCATCTTCTTGAATGTGTTAATTACATATTTATCCGTAATCAAATGCGTTTTGACAGCTTATAAAAACTAATTATGTTATGTCGTTTTCACAAATCGCTCCTGACACCTGCTGTCAAGTGCTTCGATTATTCTTTAATGGAAAATAAATGACAAAGATTTGAAAATAATTAATTTGAATGTTTTTCCACTTTTCAAAATTATGATCTTACAAAAAAAAACCGAAGGCGTATACCACTATAAATCGATCTATTGTCTTTTATGATTCGACATACCATTGTCGAACACATTCATAATGATAAATCTCATCATAGTAAATATTTTTGCACTATTTCAAATGCATTTTGATATCATACTCTAGTTATTAATTATATGCGTGTTTCATTATACGTCATCTCATGAAAGCTGATTTGTGTTGACTGAAACTTGAAGATTTTTCCATTATAGTGAGAGAAGAGATAGATTTTGACAATAGCATGACATAGTAGGGCGTACTAGACTGACCACTTGAGTAATGCCTTAATACATTATTATTGAGACAACATTTGTTACACTTATGATTGATATTTAGCGGATTTCGATTAAAACGATTGGATTCAAATCAAAATTAATAGTGTATTCGAAATGAGTACCAAAAAATGCGTTGATTTATGTGTTTTAAATTTTTCTCTTGATATTTTTATTTTTCATTACAAAATTCATTCTCCCAGTATCCATTAGTGTTAAGTCAAAAAATGAGTTCAAATACAAATTCCCTAACTCAGTAGAAATCAAATTCAAATCTCTCAAAAATATTGGTATAGTCCTAAGCGGCACATCGTGAAACCACAAAAAAAAACGAGTTTCCATTCAACTTTTATGTTGACTGCTTCCATCAAAATCGGCAAAATATCAATCATAAGTATAAAACATAATGCTTCAGTTATGAAACGTTATGCATCAGAGACTATAGTTCTTAGCTCATGCGATATTGTTGATGTGGGTGTAGTTGAAGGAAAGACTACTGCTTGTACCCTACGTTAACAATCAATTTTCTTCAATATTTAACTCAATAATAGTTCATTATCTTTCCTAATGGATGCATTTAGTTCAGAGTATTCTCTTTCTAATAGGCGATATGCATTCTCAGAAACGCAATTATTTAAAAAGCAGATTCTTCTGTCTATTCGATTATTTGATCTGTTGAAGCATTTGTAATAAAACTGTTGAAGTCGATGCATTAATAGTATCTTCAACGATCCATAATAGAAAGTTGTTTACAGAAGTATCTCTTTAAAAAAACGAGTATCTAAAACTCTCACAAATATAACATAGTTTAGGAAATGTTAAAGTACAAACTGCTTTCACTCGGTTTGGAGTATAATCTCAATTGTAGATATTTACCAATATGTTTCTTATCTTGTTGTTTATAATAAAAACAATTTGTATACGAAAATATGAGTATCCTGAATCGAGAAGAAAAGCAAGAGTTGAATACAATAAAATCTCATATTAGTTATGTGACTGTGTAATTTGATATGCTATAGAATTTA